CAGGACAAGACATCATGAGCATCAGCCGATATCAGCCGCATTCCGCATTCCTCTTTCTGATGGCAGCAGTAGCCGACTGCCATCCGCATCAGCTGCACCGATTGTGTGGAGAACGACGGAGAACACCTCGTCATGAGCATCAGCCGCGCGTCGTTTTCCTGCAGGGTGGTCATGTGTGGTAGTTCGATTCATGCTTACGGAGACGAGCTTCACAGATTCTTTCCCATAGTTTGATTGGGTTCAGGTTCAGGGGCTCTACGTTGCCCGTCAATTTTTTTTGCGGGGGGCGCTAGTCTCGACCCCCGCTATTTTTTCATGTGCATGGCACATTCCTCTTCTTGATGGCGGCAGTAGGCGCGAATCTGCACGCTCTTTTCCGGAGATCGCTCTGGCTCTTTTTCCATGAGCATAAGGTGCATTGTTCTTCTTGTTACATTTGCATCAGCTGCAGCCCTGAACCCCATACCTGTGCATCTCGGATGTTCTGCCTTCGTGCGGGCTGTTGAAGAGAGAGTGCTGTATTCGATGTCCTCGCCGTCGTCGTAGTTGTTGTGTATTGATTCCGTAAGCCCTTGAAATTGCAGGACTGCGTTCATGTCTTGGCCTACATCCGCTCCAACGAGGGCTTCTCCAAGGACGAGGCACCAAGAGAAGCCCCGAACGCCCCAAAGGACACCAAACACACAAGGTCTTCAGATTGTGGGTGGACTGGCCGAGAGGCAGGCCCTCAGAGCCCAGAGGCAAAAGCCAAGGTACAGAGGGGAAGATACCAAGTTGGTCTGCGTTCAGACAAGCCTCTGAACTTTTACACTCTCGACATCCGACCCCGACCATGTGTCCGTCTCCAGAATCCAGAAGCGAGACCTCGCCGGGCTTCCTCGAGTTGCGACAGCCTAAACCTCAAGCCCCGGATCCAGAAAGAACAGAACGCTAAACTAAGCCCTCAACCCCTCTACACCCTAAACCTCCTTAAGCCGGAACCCTTGAACCCTAAACTTCCTAAACCCCTGAGCCCTTAACCCTCGCCTGCATCGTCCGAGTTGCGAAAGTCCAGGCCCTCGGGGCCTAAGCCCCCTCAACGCGGGAGGCACTTGAGCTCAAGTCGGTCTTCCGGAAGTTCTGTTCCAAGGCCAGTCTGAGGGGCGCAGGCAGCTGTCGCATATCTTTTAAAGAGTGCGCTCGCACTATATGACCTGGTTTTCTGTGTGTGGATATGTACGTTTATATTTTTTCTGTGTAGTTACTTACGTTTAAGCGCATTTCTTTGCACTCGCATAGATGCGCATAGTCCCTGTTTCGTGAGGGCAGTTTGAGGTCTTTGCTGGGAAGGGGCAGAAAATGGGTTTAAGCGTCGAATGTGGAGCACCTTTTGCTTCGAACTTAGCGTTCTCTAAGTTACTAAGATAGTCTTTGTCATAAGGTTTCTTCTATGAGCTTTCAAAGAGTCTTTTTGTGGTTTTCATAGGGTTCTATAAGGTTTTTCAAGGCTTTATGACCTTTGTGAGGTGTTGCAATGATCTATATGGTTTCCAGGGTTTCGGGTCGTGGTGCGAGCTTTCTTTGGGCAGTCCCCACCCTGAGCGTAAACCGACCCGACCCCAAGGCTCTAATGCCTGAAAAGTTTAGTCCTAAACTCTTAAATCCCGACCCGGTGGCGACCTGGGCCCCCTGAACTCTGAAGCCGAGAGGGCCTCCAGTCCCAGATGCATCCTCAAACCCTAAACCAAAAACCCGGAGCCCTAACCCACAAAGCCCGGCCTTTCAAGTCCGAGCCGCTTCCAGCTGTTGATGAGCAGGAGACAAGTACTCAAGGCTACCCTTCCTGAACTTCGAAGCCATAGGGCCAGCCCGAAACCTTACAAGTTGATATGTAAGACCTTTGAAGCCAAAGAAGAACTCCCGAACCTTCAACCCTAAATCCTGATAAGAGCAGCTTGAAAAACCTAAGATAGGATAATCATTTACGAAGCCCCAGAAGAACTCCATCATAGAATCCACGCCCAACGAAATGTTATTATAGAAACCCTGTGAAAGTTCTACTAGTCTTACACCCTACAGCCATAGTACTCGTAGTAATTCTTATCCTCCCAGGGCCGCGACGAGCTGCGGGAGTTTGAGCTGACGCGCGCTCTCAGCTGGCCGGAACCCCAGGATGAGGTTCTGGTGCCCATTGGCCAACCCCAGAACAGTTTGGGTTTAGGGTTTAGGGTTTAGGGTTTAGGGTTTAGGGTTTAGGGTTTAGGGTTTAGGGTTTAGGGTTTAGGGTTTAGGGTTTAGGGTTTAGGGGTGAATGGAGGATCGCTTACGGGGGTGCCTGTTCATCGGCGGGGTTCTGGGGTCTGTAGCTGTAGCGATGGGCTTCACCCATAGAAAGGGCAGCCGTAGTCAACAGTGTACGATCATGTAAGAACCGTCATCACTGGAGTCTAGAGAGTGGCAGCCAAGTTGCAATCAGAATCATGGCTGGAAGTATCCTGAGCTTTTTTTGGGGGGCCCAGCTTTTCATCATGTCACATACAGGGACTTGCGCGAGTCCGGAAGCCACCATCCAGACAGAAGAGTCATGATGCTGCGCAGCGCCCCAGCCTAAATTCTAAACCTGAAACCCGAACAGCAGCAAAAGCGCAAGCACAACAGCTTCACAGATGGTATGTCGAGGTTCTGAGCCCTGAGGTAAAGATCGCTACGTCCGGCAAAGGCTTGCCATTGAGCCTTTGCATGGTAGTGTGTAGATTGATGAACGGGTATACTCGTTTGGCTCGGTGGTGGTAGGAGGCAAGGCCACTGCAAAAGGGGTGGTATTGGATTTGTAGTGCGATCAGCGGGGAAGACGGGTTCTAAATTTTCTCTGATAGAGTTCAGGTTCTCGGCTACAGCTCCTTTGGGTTTTAGTCTCTTGGAGTTCACCTTGCGTCATCGTCATTTGGAGCTGTTCGGAGAACGCTGGCTCCCGTCGCTTGCCTCGGGCTCGGCAAAGGTTCAACATAATGCTTTTTGGAGTAGATGGTTTGCAAGTTGATGAAGCTCGGTCACAACGTGAATCCGGCCCGAAACTTCAAACGCGAGACCCTGTTGCAACCCCTTCCTCCAAAAAGGAAACGACCCTTAAGCCCCGAAGATGCAGGAATATGATTTCAGAGCTTTGCTAAAACCTTCCGAACCCTGACCCAGCTTCAAATCCACTCAGACTCCTTAAGATCCCTAGCCGTGGGTGCTGAAACCCCTCCTTCAGAGCCTTCTTGGACTTGGAGCACCAAGCCCAGGCTGGGATATCCACTATCCACGCAGCGGCGGCGACAGCTTTGGTGCCGGGTGGACCTGGACAAGAGCGGCCACGGGCTCGGCTGGGGGGGGGGGGGGGGGGGG